CAGGGAAATTCCTGTAAATTTCTTTGGAGCAATGAAATCCCTTGTAGCTTTGGATTTGAGCTGCACCCATATTTCATCATTGCCACCATCACTCCCATGCCTAATGAATCTCCACACACTTTGTCTTGATTCTTGTACTTCATTAACAGATATATCAATGCTTGGGAAGTTGACCGCACTCCAGCTACTTAGCTTAAGTGGRTCCAAGATTGAGAAGTTGCCAGAAGAAATAGGAAAGTTAAGCAATTTAAAGCTTTTAGACTTGTCACATACTTATAATCTTAAAACAGTACCACCAAATGTGATTTCAAGTCTTTCTCGATTAGAAGAATTGAACATGAAGCACAGCTTTTATGGGTGGGAGGTAGAAGGATATGGGAGTGGCAGTAATGCTAGCTTTGCAGAGTTAACATCCTTGGAATGCTTGACTGTTCTATATGTTCAGGTAGGAAATACTAGATGTTTGTCCAAGGTGATCCCCTTTTCTTCAAACAACTTGGCAAAGTTCTGCATATCTGTGGATTCTAGTTACCATGAGAGTTCATCCCCAACTTATATGTACCTGAAAAACCTGTCTATTCCAGTTGCCAATTGGATCAAGATGCTGTTAATGAAAACAGCTGAATTAAGCTTGATTGGCTGTGATAGGATCAAGAACCTCGTGATATTAGATGTATGTGGTGTCAAGGGCCTGAAGTCATTACATGTTGAAGATTGTTCTGAAATGGAATATCTCATAAATATCATGGAGGAGGCAGGTGTTCCTCAGAGTACATTTAATAGTCTGGAGAAATTACAACTCAAAAATATGGAGAACCTGAAACAAATTTGCCTTTGCCATGGACCCCTGCCAAATGGAATTTTTGGAAACCTGAAGGTTCTAAGAGTTCAAAAATGTCACCGTCTGGATGAAATTTTGTCACACCCCTTGCTAAAAGGGTTGAAAATTTTGGAAGAACTCAAAGTAGATCAATGCCATAAGTTGAAGTTTCTATTTTACTCAAAGGAAMTTCAGGAAGGTATTGCCCTGTTATCCACATTGAAAGAATTAAAATTGAAACATCTGCTGAACCTGAGGGAAATATGGAAAGGGGACATACCACTTGGAAGCCTTCAAAACCTTAAAGTAATAGAGATAAATTATTGTCATAATTTAACAAATCTAT